TGAATATTAGGTATTATACAGATAAACCAACTTTCTCTAGTTACCACCTTCAATATAAAAATCATTCAGATCTTAGCTTGTTGAGCTACAAAGGTGAAGGAGATACTGCCCTTGAAAGGCTCATGGTTCTAGAATGTGACAAGAGGTCTAAAAACAAATAACTACAATAACAAAGTATCTTGAAGGACATAGTAGAAGGCACAATTAACTTTTCTTGAAAGATTAACTAAAACTCAAATGAAGATAAGGTCTTTTAGCTAGGACTTAGCTAGGTTTTAGCTAGTGAGGTGTTTAAGAGGCAAACAATAGAAAGGCGGTGAAAAAGGGACAGCACATTTCAAGCAGAGGGGGTAACATGTGCCAAAGAGGGCCAAAGGGGTATGAACGGACCCGTGTCTAAGGCATGGGGAGGGGAAAGAAGGTGTGAAGAAAGGCAAATGAGCATCCCGATATCATGAAGTTGGGCTGGAAGGTTCTGGTCAAATCATACATGGTGAATACAGTCTATTTGGACTTTTCCCCAAAGCCCAAATGAAGTCATTTATATTTGTTAAAAATGTCCAGTTGAGGACAGATGTGAGACTTATTTTAATATAGTCTGGAGAGAAGTGGGCCTGGAGCAAGGTGGCCTGTTGGATGACCATTGACATCTATTTGAGGGGAGAAATTATGGGGCTTAAATTAGAACAGCAGGAGCCAGAAGGTTGAGGAGGAGAGAGGAGGACAAGGCATGTGAGACCTGTCATTAGCTTAGGTGGTAACTGAAGAATGATGCCACTTCAGAAGACGATAAGCAGACTTTGAGGAATAGGTCTGAATGAGGAGACACGGCAGAGAGTTCAAGGAAGCAAAGGGCTGGGGAAACAGAAAGGCCTGATTACACCAGACTGGCTTTCCTGGAGGCAGCTCTTCACCAGGAAAAATACATCTGCAGCCTCGGAAGGAGAGAACTCGAAAACTAGATCTGTGCATCATCACCCTCCAGGTTGTAGATGAAACCACGGGAATGAATGGGATAACAGCTGACAAGGAAACCCTCACTATACTAAACCTATAGGGGTAAGTGAAATTAAGCTATCTCCACTCAACAGAACTTTCCCAAGTCATTCAGCATGACCATAATGAAGAGTATGAGGCAATATGGAAAAGTCCTTGACACAAGCTAAAAAGATAAGAATACACATAAAATATCATGGACAAATCTCAATATCATGTTGCTGTGTGGAAAAAAAAAAAAAGCCAGACACAAAAAAAAAAAGCCAGACACAAAAAGAATATGATGTATGTTTCTGTCTATATGAAATTCTAGAATACACGAAACTCATCTACATGATAAAAATCAGATCATTGTTTGCTTCTGGAGAAGAGGGGTATCATCTGCCAGAGAGGAGAATGAAGGCATTTTCTGGGAGGATAGTGAGCTTTAATACCTTGATAAAGCTGTAAGTTACATGAGTGTATGTGTTTGCCAATAAGCATTCCATTGTAGGTAAGTGATACCTTAATAAAAAAAAGTCAAGATATGAAATTGTCTACTCTCATATACACAAAGACACAGGAAATATGCAAAAGTAAAGTCTCCTAGTGGAATATGGGCTATTTTGCCCTCACTTCACAGTTTTAACTTTTTGCACACTATTCTTAAATAAAAAGAAATTTTAAAACCCTCAAATGCCCATAAATATTTACCAATTACTTGTGAAAATGGAGAACATGTATTTTTTCCCCATAGGAAGTAGGAAAGAATCTCTGAAAGAAATTTACTCTCTGGAAAATTTTTTTTTTTTTACTATCTGGAGACAATAAGGAAACACAAGATCATAGTAAGTACATGATTGTCAAGTATCGAGGACTCAGTGGAAGGAGGGGAGCCTCATGGGTTTGTTCTGAGGGAAGTTGGGTTAACTTGGCAGCACAGGACACTTGTCAGGGTGACGAATGAGACAACAGGAAAGTTAGTCAATGGAGGGGAGGGTTGGAGGCAGTTAGATTCTGAAGGTCACTATCACAGACTCTACTTGGGTTTTGGTGCTCCTGAGTCTGAGTTGTCTTTTATATTCTGCAGTTCTTAGTTTGAGAACCTTGCCTTAATTTTCATAGAGAAGATAAAGAAACATTACCCAATTAGAGAGTGGATCCAACAGCCCCCCCATATTTTGGAGAGAAATGGTGGATTCCTGGATGATGGTGGTGGTAGTAAGGCTCTCTTGAGGTGCCTGTGGTGGACCAGGTACCATGGCCAGTTGCTTCATACATATTACTATTTTACTCAAGCTCCGCGACAACCCAGAAAAATACGGATTAACTTCATACCCCCAGTGAGGAAACTGGACTCAAAGAAGCTAGGCAACTTCTAGTTAGGAATCCACGGACAAAAGGCTAGACTATGGCCTCCACTTTGCAAGCACTTGGACCGTGTCAGGAGGGGATCAATCACGTCTCATTGGCATTTGAGTCTGAAGACAAGAAAACAACCCATCCTGAGAGGTTTCTAGTAATATAGTCTAATTACAATTCCTTCCTGCAGTGTGGTTGATACCCCCACAAAACAGCAAATGTGACTATTACACAGCTATAAAATGGAGACATGTTAGCTTAATAGTAACTATTTAATAGTAGTTAACATTGGGTGCAACACACTCTACAGTGAGTTACTTCAGGTACTCCTCATGACTATCCCTGAGCAGACAATTATTAGTGCATGTGATAGATAATGAAATTGGGACTCAAGACCTGTAATGTGACTTGCCCTAGGTCACCCAGCTACGAAAGGTCTGGACCTGGTTATTGTGACCACACAGTCTAACCATTCTATAGTACTGCCTCAAATTTTAAAATCGCATTTCGAACTTTGCTATGTCACCTGTTGTCTTTCATCTTAGTTCGTGCTACAAACAATCCCACTGGCAGCTTCTGGAGAATTCTTCCTGGACTGTTTCCATCAGAAGAACTACGTCATGCCTTCTCTTCTCTCCCCTCAAAGAACTGAGAACATACCCAAAAGGCTTTACATAGTTACTTGAGAAGTTCTACCTCATTCAGTGGGAGCACTGACACATTCCCAATTGTGCCTTCCATTGAAAACCGTTCCTAATGTCATCGCATTACCCTGACAAGAGTCCCCTACTGCTGCGTTAACCCAACTCCCACCCAATTCCCACCTGGGTGACCGGACGCTATGGACAGGCCAACCACTGCATCCGGACGCGTGGACAGCAGTGGTGAAAGAACACCACGGCACACTCTCCTTATCACAGATGGAAAGTTGAGAACGGGTACAAACTGTGACAGCTATTTCCTGTCAGGCTACGTACCCATTGGAGGTGCTGAGGACCCGGGTCCCACTTTAAATCATTTAATTGTGCTATCCACTAAAAGGTAAGAAGAGGATCCCCTATTCAAGCAGCATGAATGAGAACAGTGTTCCGCTGGCGTTTCGGCCCCATGTTGGAGAGGCCGAAACGTGAACCATCAGGGAGGCTCATCTCCACCTCCACTGGGTCATAATGAACTCTGAAACACACACAAAAAGGCCTCCTTCATGACCTGCTCAACTCCATATCCATTACGTTATTTAAGGCACACACAAAAGCAAATTAAGTTGGTCATCTGGGTAATCAAAAGGGCAGCTGTCTAGTTAAGTAACAGGACAGAAAGCCTCAAATGCTAACGCCAGGAGGCCTGTTTCTCAGCTGTGGTTTCCTTGAACGGTTTGCCTAGAATTTTCAACTCTTTGGGGTCCTGAAGTTCCATCTGTTTTAAAATTACTTTTCTATAAAGAGTTCCTCATTTCCATCGCCTCAAATAAGGTCAGGAGAAAATGATGTCCCAGCTAGGTATTAAGAATCTGGAGGGGTAGTCAGCAGTTTGTGGTTGCCTCCCGTTGGGAGGTGAAAACAGAAAAGGAACACAGAGGCAAGCCCTGGCCCTACATTCACTGCTATTTAATCTTTGCCCAGGGTTGGGGGGTGGCAGAGAAAAAAAAAAAAATTAAGTCCAGCCAATTATATTGACAATGTTGAAATTCCGGTCTTGTCCAAAGACAGGTTTCTCCTAGAACTGGATGAACACAATTTTCGTCTCTGGCTGTTGCCTTTGCATTATTTATACACATACCTACTCACACTTTAGGAGGAGGCTGTGAGCATACATAGGAAATCGCTAAAGGGAAGGAATTCAGCCTTTTAATGAATAACTCCAAACTGGGCTGAAGCTGAAGCAGGAAGCTGATTCTCTAGGGCTGAGGTGCCCATGGCAGACAGGGGCATCCCAAGACAGATGGTTCACTCCAACACAGTAGCTGAGGTAGGGAAGGCAAGATGGTCTCTGTTGCATGAACCCTGAAGACCCTTCCAGGAGAGTCAAGAACTAAAACTCAGCTCAGCCTACGAACAGCAGCACTGGATGGTGGGTGTTACAGACTTCAGGGGCACATGGCTCCTGGTAGAACTGGGTCCTTCACCATCAGCCCTGTTCCAATTATAACATTAGCACAGAGCGTGCTTTCTTCAGACAGGCTATCCGGGATGCACAGCATCCTTCTCTTTACATACTTCCTCCTCGCAAACTGCCCCAAGGAAAGCGTAATGTAATTACTATTATCAGAGAGGGCATTTTCTCACCACTTTTTAATATGGAAAGAGGTTCGGGGAAAAAAAATGACAGAATTATTTAAGAGGAACCCACACAATTACAAAACTCGCTCTGTCCTTGTCTTCAGGAAGAGAAATGTTTTGGTCATCAAAAGCTCTGCTAGGCTTAGTCAGATCAGTGCCAGGAATTCTGTGAACTTGAGGTCAAGCTGCCAAGATTCTAAAGAAATGTTGATATTAAGTGTTTGCACAGATACCAGAGTGGGACAGCTATCAACTGCCAGCGTGCAACTCCAGCCATAATGCAGATGGGAGAACCGAATTTGCCAGTTGTCCCCTCATCCTGTCAAACTTAGGGGGGAAAAAAAACAAAACAACACACACACACAAAGGAAAAAAAGCTCTTACCTAGCTCTCCTCGAAGGTTAACAAGTTCTTGGGATAGGGTTTTGTGTTGTTTCAGCGCTTCCTCCCGCTGTGGAAAACACACATCAAGTTACTCATGTTTTCAGGAGGGTCCTTTTCAGTAAAGGCACACATTTGTTATCACCAGGAAAATGAGAGACTCAGAATCGAGAAGCCAAGATATGAATCATTTAAGCTAAACAGTGTGTGTTGTGAAAAAAACACAGATGTCCCTTAGTTGTTAAGGAAATTCATGTTTCAAAAATCTTTATTTTTTCAGGTTCTCATCAAACCATCATTGGAGACACTCACTGGCATGGTACTTTTAAAAATATTTACTTTGAGCCATGCTTCATTGCTAATCCATAGAACCTTTCAGCAAATGCATACTTAAGACTTAATGCATTCTCCTCCAAGGGCAATAAAGCACTAATCAGTTTAAGATAAATATTTAATGTTCTAAACATACGCACTTACATGCACTTTGTCCTAGATTTGCAAATAAAAAAGTTTTGTTACAATGTCAGTCCTAAAAGGAAGAAGCCACAGTGAAAAAGAATCCTTAAAAAAAAGACAAAATTAAACTAATTTTACCCATCCCCACATTATTTTCTAAGGATTATTATATTTGAGATCAGCTATAATTGTAAGGAGATGTTAAGAGAAATGAAATCAAAGAATATCAGGCAACTGTTTCCGTATCAAAAAAGCTATTATTAATTCCGTAAAAAAAGAACAATTTCCAAGTTACCAGCAACTTAAAGCAATCACACACACACACACACACACACACACACACACAGAACGATAGATACAGTTTCTTAAAAGGTTGATTCCCTACCACCAGGGCATAACTAAGGAAAAGGCAGAATTCAGAGCTCTCTGAAAATGCCCTCACTAGGATCACCCGAGACGGAGCTCCTGCCGCATCTTGATCACAGTATTGCAGAGATCATGAGACCCAGTCTTTTGCAGGCAAGAGTTGCTCGTCATTCCAAGCATTCCCCCCTAATTCCAGACAAGCTCTGCCTCAGTCCCTGACATTCTCCCAGAAACGCACTATAAGCAAATACTAATTACCCTTGTTGCTGCACAGGGAGGATAGAGACACATTTTGCTGCTGGAGCAGCCCATTTTCCAGCTTCTGTCTGCACCTGTCCCCACCCCACCCCACCCCCCCACCCCGCACCGTCCAAGAAGTGCACAGGTGGCCACGCCACCCACCAGTCGGGTCTGCCTACATTCAAAGCTCTACCGGGAGGAGCATGATTGGTCCTCGGTTAGCCTTACTTCACATCCTGCAGGTTACCGTATGCCTCTCTCCTCTCAGAAGCTGATTGCTGCAGCTTCTGCCTTTGGCACAAACAGCCCGCGATTACTTAAAGCCACAGCCCTTCATTTATGAAAAACGAGAGCCAGACATTAGACTGATCGATGGCCACTTACTTAAATATCAGCTGGTACAGTGCAAAGAAAAACTGACCTTCTCTGCCTGGATAATGGAGTTATTTTTAGATTTGTGAACCTTTTTAGTTCCCTCTCTAATTGAGGTCGTTAGATGATCACACTTACTAATAGAAAAGAGAAACGTGTTCTCCAAAACCTGTATACTAAAGGAGCCTGTGAACGAGGCAAAGAACAATCCAAGTGTGTGTTTTGTGACTTACAATTCATAATGACATAGTAAGACGAATGGTGTTTGCTGCAAAATTTAATCTGAATGCTTAGAACACGGTCTATCGGTGTTTAAAGTTAAAGTGTGCAGTGCTGATTGGAGAGTGGGAGATCAGGTATCTTCTATAACTTGTACTTTTTACTTTGTAGTGGTCTCTCACTAAAGAGCTAAGGAAGTTAACAACGGCATGCTAACACTGTCACATGGGTAGTTCACAGTGACTGGAATTTAAGAAACACTTTCTCCTTGAGTACACTTTGCCATTAATGGTATTCTCAATGCTTGATTTTTTAAAGTGCAGTATTAAATTGTTCTGAAATTACAAATCCGTGAGTCCAGGGCGCCTGGGTGGCTCAGCCGGTTAAGCATCCGACTTTGGCTCAGGTCACGATCTCGCAGTTCGTGGGTTCGAGCCCCGCATCAGGCTCTGTGCTGACAGCTCAGAGTCTGGACCCTGCTTCAGATTTTGTCTCCCTCTCTCTGCCCCTCCCCCTGCTCATGCTCATGCTCTCAACAATAAATAAATATATATTTTTTTAGTTAAAAAAAGTAACAACAACAAAACAAATCCGTGAGTTCAGGTTTTAAAAAATGAACAAGTAATGAGTGTTCTAATGTAGAAATTAAAGTCTCAGGAAAAATCAACCTGGATAAAATTGGAAAAAAAAAGCGAATGGAAACAGATGTAATACATGCCTTTCTTAATCTCATAAATTTAGGCCTTAATTTTGTTTGCTTAGTGATCTATTTCAAGTCAATACCAGCAAGTTTTGTCATGCAATTGTCAAAAACACCAGAAGACAGCTTTACTAGATACCCACAAGCAATTAAAAATCGCTTAATTGAAAAATTAAGTTGATATGTAATTTCCAGAAGTAATTTTATGAAAACATTTACACCCTGGCACGAACACCTACCGCATGATCTCTCCGCTTATTAAAGAGGTTTGGGGGACAAGGAATTTCAGTTCATGTGAACACTTCCCCCAACTCTACTGCATCCCACCTTCCTGTCCCAGAAGCCACTGACAGCTTCCAATCTCTGTCAGTCTGAGTCAACAGTGACAGGAAAGCCGTGAGGTCATCTTTGTCTCTCTTTTGTCTAAGGGTTGTTCCAAAGTCAGTCCATTCTTCCTCATGAGCCTTGACTCTATCACACTTTTTCTACTAGTGCAACCTCCACTCCAGTCCTGATCTCCAGAAATTCATTCCGATGCTAGTGAAAGCATCCCTCCACAGGACCTTGCAGGGGGCTGCTTGATTATTGTCCCATGGTCTTTGTACACACAGATGCCTCTACCCCCCAAAACTATTCCATTTAGTCCATGAAAAATAAAATTCACCCTAGGTCCAAGAATCTCCAACATCCACCTCCTGTTTAGGCTCCCAATTCCTGTTCTGTACAAATCACACTTGCTACCCATGTCCCACCTCCACAAGAACAAATTGACCTGACCCATTACATAACCCTGAAGGGAATGTTCAATGTCAATCATAGTTACCATCTCCCTTTCCCCAAAACCTGGAGATGACATTTATCTTTCTGAATTGATTGGCAAATTATTACTCTGCCAATTAACAAAGCACCATTTCAGACGCTGGGGAAAAGTACGCAAGAAATTTAAGACACAGTTCTTGCCTTCAAGATTGGGACCTGGATAGAACTAAAATGGCCAGGCCCAACTCTCTTCAGTTATCATTCAAGGCAGATGACCTCATCTGGGGGGAAGCGGCAGAAGAGAAAGGAAAAACTAAGGGCTTTATACGTGATCCTATATGACATGCAAATCGCAGTGCCCACACCATTGTGTCAGTTTCTGCCTGACTCTCTCTGGGAGCTTGCCCTTTAAGAGATCTATCCTTTACTTGTAGATGATGAAAATGCATTTTGTCACTCAGCTGCTGATTGCTTGTTTCTTTTTATTCAACGGCTCCTCTATCAGTGCTTCTGTCTTAGATGATAAACTCTTTATAGTCAAGATAACAAGTTTATTTAATTCTCTTTGTATTTTAACATGCAGAATTCTACACAATGTGGGGGGGAAAAAGCAGGAGGTAGGAATCTGGATAGAAATCTGCTTTTCTACGCACTTAATATATGAAGTGCTCCAAGGGAAAAAAAAAATGCATTCACTATAATTTAATTAGGGGTCCCTGAAACACAGGCACTTAGTCTCTGGCTGCCATCCCATCAGTGGGCCTGAATTTGCTAGCTACTGAAGAGCACCACCAGCACAGGGGATTTTGTAGAAAAGAGCCATGTCAGATGGCTCAGACGGGTACCCTCTCCCACCTCCTCCCCACCACTCACACAATGAATCATGTCCACTTTTTTTTTGCCCTGAGACTTTTTTACCTATAGTAGCCTGCTAGTGTCATTCAAAATTCACCTTGTTTGGGTGCTACTTTAGGCTGGATTTCACTTTGGCTGTCTGCACAGAACACTGCTCAACCATCCAAGGATAGACGTGGAATTGGAATAAACTGAAACCATCAACAATGTGTCCTCTGGGAAACAGAAAGTGTGATATTAGTTTCCAGATTCATGAGGCACTTATTAGAACTTCCATGTAATGAATTATTTCTGCCACTAGAATGGGAAAATTATAGTTATTAAACAGGCTTGCAACCAAAGGGTAAGTGATAGCTCTAGGATTCCCTATAATCAATCATTTTTATCCATACTCTAATGCTCTAAAGCCACTTGGGAAAAACTCAGCAATAAGATATATATGTATATACAGATCAGTCTATACCTACAATCCACATCTGCTTATTCACATATCAATCCATCAATCACTTGTATAGTAGGTAGGAGAGAACCAAAGGGTTAAGAGGAAAATTGTGCTGAAGAATTACTTAACTTTTCCCCTGTTTATGCCTGTCCTTTCTAACTGTTTTATAATAGTGTCCTGCACACATTAGGCAATCAGTAAATATTTGCTGATTGATTATAAAGAGCAAAGAACTTTTGCATCAAGACTTTATATGTTCATCTTACATTTGGGATTCCATCCTGTCTATTCATCCATTTGTTTGTTCAAGTATACAATGTACATCTGTTATATAAAGTCCGGCCATAAGTACTAGGGTCATTTTCTAAGAAGGAACTAGATACAGACCCTACTTTCAGTGAGCTTCTGGTCTTAAAAAGCCTAAATGAGTGCAAATAATTATCTGTAATACAAGGTAAAGAGTGACAGAGAAATAGAAGTGTCCCTAGAATCCAGAAGGTAGAGAGAACATAGAGCCAGAAGGATCAGGAAATAAAAGAGGGAGTTTTTGACCCAAATTATAAGAAATCCAGTGGAGTCATAATTACATTGGCATTAAAACCTAAATTAGGTGCAATATGAAATTCACATACAGTAAAAGTATCCCTGAAACTCATTAAGAGTTTGTCCTGTTATAGACTGACCAAACATTTGTCAGTTTATCCAAATAAGTGAGGTTTTTCTTCTAATGTTCGATCTACTCCTCCTCCAACTGAGCATGTGATAAAGAGTTTGGTTTGTGTTTACGAGCAAGGCTGTATGGGGAAAAATTACCTTGAAACAGCAGGATCACATGGACCATGGGAGGTTCATGCCCACGTGAGTGATTTAGGAACCAAAGGAAGAGCAGGCTCCATAACTCATCTCACATCCACTTCTGGGCCTCTCCTCATGGAGGGGCATGAAAGGCAGGACTGCCTGATCTATTTAATTTGCATTTTCTACTTGTTATTTGTATAGTGAATCCATGTAAATTAAGTGTAGATAGTGGTATGATGCTGCTATAAGATGTGAACATGTAGATATTAGAAAGAAGGGCAGTGGCCCAGTAATAAATAGCATGTGAACAAAGAATAGGAAAGTTGAGACATTCATAGATGATTTTAAGTTCCTAGCGTCCTAGACCTAGGTTCAAGTCCTGGTCTTCCTCTAAAATTAGCTGTCTGCTGATAGATGAGTTACTTTGTAGCTCCATGCCTCAGTTTTCTTACTAGTAAATTCCAATTTGTGTTTTTGGACAAGATGTAATAAGTTACGAATGTCTAGAACTTAGTAAATATTCAAGGAATGTTATATCCCTCTTGCTTTTTCTCTACCTCACTAATTATACAGCTAGAGCCGATAGGCAGTGAGGTGAGTCTAAAAAGAGCAGCTCATGCCAAATTATAGAATCTTATATTCCAAGTTATACCCCAGAGTTTTCCAGAGGACATATAATGTGAGCCATGTATATTATTTTAATTTCCTAAAACTGAAGATTAAATTTTAATATATTTTAAGTCAGTATACCCAACATATTATCAAGTTGACATATAGTCAACAGAAAAATTATTCACACGATATCTTACATTTTTTTCATACTGTCTTCAAAATCCATGTGTAGTTTAATGCTTAACCACGTATCTTAAGTTAGTCTTACTGCACTTCAAGTGTCCAAAAGCTTCATAAAGACAGTAGCTACCATATAGGACAGGTAAGCTGTAGACAAAGGTTTTAGTCAGTAGAGTGGAATGCTTTGGAAAGATGAATCTGTTGGCAGTGCTTGGGATAAACGAGTGAAGGGAGCGCAGGCCTAAAATCTAGTTAAGAAGTAGTTATCACAATCTAATGGACAGTTCTCTAGAGTCTGAATAAGGTTGGCAACAGTAGGAATGGAAAAGAGGGGATGGTGGAGGGGGGGCAACACTGTAGGATGAGGGCTCACGGGACTTAATGACTCATTCCATGTGAGAGAGAAAGGAATTGAACATGGGGCCGGTTAGGCTAGCTGCAGTAAAACAAATTTATTGGTTTATCACAAAAGAGACTGTTTCCTGCATTTGATCTTACGTGGTCTCCAATTTTACCTACTTGATAATATAAGCCAGCTTTCCAATTCCCTCCTTACATATTAAAGAGCAACAGAAGTACCATGCACCCCTACAATTTTTAAAACTAGGTATATGTGTCTATCTTGCTCTCAAAAAGATGTATTTGGACAAAGCTGTAAAATGTTCATCAAATATTGATCCCAACTGACTATTAGCTTGGTTACTTGCAAAGACAGTGACCAAGTCTCATTCACCTCTGTCTCCCCTGCCCCAGACAGGCAACCATATCACAGTAGCCTCTGTAGAAAATGAACACAGGTTTATTGCACAAACTGAACTACAGAACAAGCAAACTGAACAGTTTTCTTCTTGAGATGTTATGGATGTGCATCTTTTAAGATGGTGATTAAAAAAATATCTAAACAGCTCAAGTATAATTTCATCCCAGTGTTTCCGCTCAGATAATCGCAGGTTTTGGTGGTATACCAGTAGCACACATTCATAGAAGCTTGGCTTCTCAAAGCATTTTAACTCGTCCCTGAACGAACATCCTTGTAGAATGTCAGGGAAGACTAAGTAAGCAAAGAAAATCTGTTTCGCATCTGTTGTACCACAATCCATTTTAGGAATGGATGGAAATTCTGCAAAGTCCCCAGACCCATACTGGGAGTTACCTTGGAAGTGTTCCTTGACCCATAAATATAACCAATCTCATTTTTCAAAGCATTCAACTAAAGGTGATATGAAGAGCTACATTGTTAGACAAAGAATTGAGTGAAAAAATGTTAATGCTAATATTGGTTAGAGATGTATACAAGTACAACAAGCAATTATCTTTTGCCATTGTCAGTCTGAGTGATTTTGAAAGAGAAAACAAAGTCATAGAAGTGTTTCCATCCCAAATTTCTAGAGAGAGAGACTGAGGTATCAAGCGAGTTGACAAAAGCATAATTGGATGAATTATATCCGGTCTCATCATTCATTAACTGAAAAGTGTTCAAAAGGCAAGAGCGTGAACACCGCCCCCTCCCCCATGCCTCCCCTCAGGGACAAAGACGGTTTAGAGGGTACACATCCTTACCTCAGAGAGTAGGTGCTGAATCACAACTGTCAATGCCTCAAACTTGGTATTACCACAGGAAAGAAGCTGCTTGAGCTGCAGGATAAATCCACTTTGGTTTTCACATTTTGTTTTATAATGAGCCAACTCAAGTGTTTTTTCAGAAGATAGCACATCTGGAGACGTCTGTGTCTGGATACACAAACTTCTGGGATTCTTCTGCCTGCCCTTTTCAACTGTAAAAGAAATGATTATACATAGGAAGATATGTGATTTTTATTTTTATAATCACTACCATCTGGGTTCAAAAACAACTAAATAAGCCACAGAAGTGCACTTAAGTTATATTTACATAAGGAAAGCATATGGCTCAGAACAGAAATTAATCACATATCTAGATGTTTGGAATGTACAAACACAGACCATGTCTCTAGCCCTGACTTAAAAGATTTACATGGGGCAGAGAACCATTTGTTCATGTACGTGAAACAAATAGATTTAGCAATCCAGACACATGAAAATTGTGTGCAAAATAATGTAGATATCACAGTTTCTAATTTTTTTAGGTAAACTGGCACAGTATCCTGTGACAAGTTCCCTGAGTCTGTATTCTGATCACATATGCTCAAAGAAAAACACAAGCGATTGAACTTTCAACACCTCTCCTTCCTCCTCCACATTTTCTACAAATCTCCCATCCTTTCCTGCTGATGGCCTGGTCATTACAAAGATTTATACTGCAGATGAGTCATTTCCTCATCTCTAATAAATCATTACACATATTGAACACCTACTCACATTTTGTCCCTTAAGTTCACTGCTAAAAGTACTATATTCTCGACTATACTCTGTTTTCTATCAAACACAAGCTTTATTGTTTTTCCCCTCTCCAAGTAGTAATAATAGCCTACGCATTTTTTTTTTTAAAGCTCATGCTAATACTCCAAATCCAACTAAGATGCTGTGCTAAGTGATTATTCACTTTCTGTGCCACGGGTGTCCTGGGAATTACTCTATTTTAAATGAAAAACTGCTCAGTTTTGGAACCATTCCAAATATCTCCATCACTTTAAATATCCAACAGAACTGGAAGAACACACAACAAGCTGCTTAGCTTCTTGAAATAAGTAGGCCAAGTAATCAAAGCAAAACTAAATCTGAAAAAAAGATACAAGAAACAAACAAAAAAAGCTTCCCTGTTCTCAGAGGTATTCCTGATGGCGTTCACATTCTGTGCTAACAAACCTAAGGAAATTTTATAGATGGGAATTATTTCTTCTAATTTTTCAGGGGGAGGGAAACTAAAGTAATGTCTTGGGGAAAAAAATAAACAAACTTGACTCTTCATGCTCCAAGAACCAATTACAAAATACACTCAATATATTCCTTAAATTAAAAAAAAAAGGGGGGGGCGAGAAAAGGTTCTCATTTTCTTTGATGCTTTCTATGGCTAAATGACTCATATTTGTATTAATACTTGATAATTCACTGTTCTAAAATGACTAAAATATCTTTTGTGTTTTAAAAACACTTAAAGGGTCAAGTATTTGCCCATAGTCTTTCTTAGTAATCATTAACAGCTACTTAGCACTAACTGCCACTTCCAAAGCAGAGGAAGAAAGCAACCAAGTTCCTTGTCATAATATTCAAGTCCCATAGGGAGAGCTTTTAAGAGTCATATTTTAATGAAAAATAATCTAAATACTTTACAGTTTGTCAAAGTGTCTGAAGTTAGCATTCCTTTATTTTTCATCATTTCCTAAAATGTTCTTAGGAGTTCTACTCTTCACATAAAATAATAATTACATAGTGTTTTACTGCTCAGTGAGTGTTCTCACTTTCCCTCTTTCATCCCCTTAGTAACTCTCCATAGGGAAGGCAAGGTTCCAGAGTGGGAAGGGCCTTGTCCAGGCTCAGAGGGCTTCTATGGGACAGATCCAAAGTCAGAACCTTGGCCTCCGACACCCAGTGTCTACTGTTCCCACCCATCCTGGTAAGTAGAGATGGGGAGGAGACGTAATATCTAAGTAAAAATAATCATTTATGCAATAATCATAATAAAATATCACTTAAATATATCAAGCCCCTTATTTGGTAACTCTTCATTTCAGTAAACCTACACGTAGATAAACATCTGCATTTTATATAGTTTCCTATAATTTTATACGAACAGAACAGCAAAAAAAACATCTTTTAACTCTTTGACCAATTAGAATTCAGTGCAACATACGCAGATATAAATTCATTCTCCTGACACTGCTGTATGTCCTACTAATATTTATGTAATTCATTTGATTATTGATATACTACATTCAGTTTATCATTTCTTGAATCCCTTAACCATGTTTGATTCTTTTTCTAGAATTTCTATGCTGATCAATTTTATTACTTAACACAGTATCAGAGTTTTAAAACTGTTAGGCTATAATTATTTGCAAAATTTGAGATGTAAGTATTTTATATTAACATTTTTGAAGAAAACATTCTTTAAAATTCTTGCCTACTGAGACTTTCTGATGACTTTTACTGGTCAGGTTCTAGTAAGTTATTTCATAAGGAGATAAATTTAATTTATTAAGCATTGTTTTTCCACCTTCAGGTTCAGAATACATGTACTCTTTTTGTAGCACCAAATTTTATATTTTCCTTCAAATTATCTCTTATATCAAAGTCAGGCAATGTCTAGTAATACGTCTGGCTTTGTAAACTTTTTTTTTCGGTATTATCAATATTTTAAAATTTTACTGTAGTTAAAATATTTGCTAGCAATATTGTTTGGATAAATTACTTGATATTAATCTTTTTTTCTTACTAAATGGTTAATTCCATTTCTAACATTATTTTAAAAAGAGGGAGAGGGGTGCCCTGGGAGGCTAAGTCGGTTAAGCATTGGACTCTTGGTTTCGGCTCAGGTCATGATCTCATGGTTCATGAGTTCGAGCCCCGCATCGGGCTCTGCACTGTTAGTTTGGGATTCTCTCCCTCCCTCCCTCCCTCTCTCTCTCCTCATCCCTTGCTTT